TTTTTAAGTAACAGATTTAAAAGAATGCTTTGGGAAGGACTCCTTAGGAATGTTAGTACACTGACAGAAGTCTCACTTAGAGGAAATGTAGTATGTTAAAAACAATGAGTTTAGCTGGTGCCTGAGGAGCGGGCTCTGCCCAGCGAGGGATAGTGTGGTGAAGGTGTGTTTGTGTGTGGCGTTTCCTTTTTAAGACCAAGGGTGAGGTGCACACTTGACGGACCAGGACTGGCTTCAGTTCTGTTCATGTGAATTAGGGATCATAGGCATTTGGAATAGTGTATTTAGGTTACTAGCTAGGATTTGTCATTCAACTAAATTTTCCTGAACACTTTGAGTTCCCAAAACTACTTACAAGCTAAAATTTAGGGGGAAGGCTTCGAGAATGTCTCTAGTATCTCTGAATATTAGGGAACCAAGAGGGATTACTTAAGTGATCGCCATCATTCATTGAATTGGTATCATAATCCTGTTAAATTGCAATTCAGCAATAGTGGGTTCTGCTTAGGATTGAGTAGAGCTTTTTTTTCTCTTCCCAGTTAAGAAAATATATAGGTGTCTTAGTTATCTAATGACATTACACAAATTATCCTGAAATTTAGTAGCTTGAAAACAACAAAACATATATTATCTCATAGTTTCTGGGGGTCTGGAACTATGGGGGTAGCTTCGCTGGGTGGGCCTAGCGCAGACTCCCAGGAGATATAGCAGTCAGGATTTTGACCAGGGCTGCCATCATCTGAAGTCGTGATGGGGACTTGAGGGTCACTTTTACGATGGCTCCCTAGGGCTACTTTAGTGCCTACACCTGGCCAGCTAGCTTTCCCCAGAGCATGCGACTAGAGAGACAGCAAGGAAGAAGCCACAGTGCCTTTTATGACCTAGTCTCAGAAGTCACACACTGTCACTTTCACTATATTCTGTTTATTACAAGCAAGACACAGTCCAGCCCATCTTCAAGACGAGAGATTGGGCCCACCTTTTGCAGGGAGGCGTATCAAAGAATGAGTTGGGACCTATTCTATTGAGAACTTTTTTTTTTTTTAGCTGAGCCATCCTGCCACCTGTTGGCAGCTCTGCAGCAACTCAGCTCAGGCCGGGAATCAAACCGCTATTGATCAGAGCTCAAACTCTTGAGCGAGCTCTTAACCAACTGAGCCACTCGGCTGGCCCCGGGACCTATTCTAAACGATCACACTAGGTGACATTTTGGCAATGTCATAGCCATTTTAGTGTCTTGTTATCAGAAAAGAATTGTGTCAACTATTGGTTCAAATGCTTAGAGTGCAAAGGCTAAAATTATTAATGGGTGGGATATTCATGTTAGGTCATCTACCCTGTCATAGGAAATCTAGTAAGGGTAGAGAAAAAGAAAAAGATCATTGTTGTGTGACTGTAGGAGCTCAGAAATGGAACCTCTAACATCTGAGTTTAGTAGCCATTTATTTTGCTCTCTGCTAATTTTTTCATTGCAATATTGCTTCAAAGGGGGAAGAAGGACACAACGCCACTCCTCAAAAAAACAAAAACCCCAAGATACGTCTTTGCAGTCATGGTATAAATGGGTTGGGGGAAGTTGTTGGTGAGCAAGGCTTTGTAGTAGGATGGCCTTCGTAGGTTTTCTGCAGCAGCTTAATTGTAAGGGAGCTGGGTTCCCTTACAGTCAGTCAGTTGAGAATCCTTGTAAACTATGTCTGGGGAGAGAGGAGTTGAATGTTGGTAAGAATGGAGGCAAGACTAAGGTGCCCAGAAGAGAGACGGGAGAATAGGCTGTGTGACAGAATGAGGGACAGTATGACTAGTTCACAGATTGTCTTGTTTCAGAAATGGTACTCACTTGATTAGACCATATGGGTGGAATGAATGGGAACTAAGGCCAGATTGAAGCAGTTGGAGCCAAGGCCTAGGCGCTCTGTGTGTCAGTCAGCTTATTTTTCACGCAGCTTTGCCAGCCCCTAATGGCATTCCTTGGGAGTGAGTATAGAAGCTCATCTTCAGCCTAAGTCTGTACTGAGTGGGCTTCCTTGCGGGACACAGTGAGGTAGGTGCCCTGTGTGGAGGAGGCTCTGACACTTAGGCACATGAGTCACCGAATGAACTACATTTTTTTTTTTTTGTTTAAATTTATACAGTGCCCCCTCTTTGGGGAATAGTCCTGATTCAAGTTGGTTTTAGAGCTGTTAGGATAAAATGAAAGGAGTTAGGGAAACCTACTATTGTATATACTACTAACAGCCTGCCAGAAAGGGAAGTTAGGTGACACTTGTTTAGGACAGGCTGATACAGGTGATGATCACGAGCTTGTTGATAGACTAGCTAAGGAAGGACTTTTATGGAGGGGCTGGTTTTGTGACTGCTTGTTTTCTTGTTCAAGATATACCTGGGGACTGAAACCTACCTTTCACTCTTTTAAGATTTTTTATTGGGGAATTGGGGGATGGGAACAGTGCTGGGGAATTGGGGGAAAGGGAACAGACAAGTTGCTGTTGTTTTGTTCTTCAGTCTAGTTGTGGAGGGCGTTGCTTCACTGGCCCAAGTTGGCACCATCATTGCACTCCTCCCG